TTGTTTTTTTTTAATAAAAAATCTTCGTAAACAATCTAAGTGAGAACCTATGATTTGTTGTTTTCTCATTATAAGGATCTTTAAGACATGACATGTGGTGGCTTAAGTTTTTTTATAAAGAGAAAGGCAATCTAATAGTTAAAAATAATGGGTCATCAAATTAAGTGGAAACCGATGGATAGATATATACTTTATTTTCTCTTGGAATTTCAATTTTTTCAAAGTTTTAAAATATCATACATGGTGACTTGAGAGTGCTACAGAGCACGCTTAATCGATCTTTACTATGTAAAACGATTCAAGAATATATAATATACGTTTTCATGTTTTTCAATGTTTCGTTGTTATTTGGTAAGGAGATTTTATTTTTATTGAGGTATATTTAATGCCTTCATCAGTTTGAAATATTTATGTCTTTAAATCCAATTGTTAAATTATAACTCGACTGATTTAAATGAAAATTGATGAAATTATAAGTCTGCCAATTTAATTGAAAATTGATGGTTAGATTTGTTTTCTTCGGATCGCCGGCCGAGTCTCCCCCAGGCCCACGGCTCGGACCGGGCCCCCTGGAGCCACCACCCCTGCCGGAGCCGCCGGTCCGACTGCCGCCCGTGGTGGCGCCGCTGCTACCCGTGCCGTCGCCACCGCCACCACCGGAGGCGCCTCGGCGGGACCGACCCCTACAGCACCGACGGCCGACATCACAGCCAGGATATTCTCCCGGTCGCGGTCGCTGCAGAGGGGGAGGATCCCGTCCGGAATCAGCATTTGCTCGACGGTGTCCAGGCCCAGCACCGCCGAACCACCGTCTTTGCGTCCTCCTCGCCCCAATCCCAGCGCTCACCTACGTGGGTGCACATGGGATCGTTATACCTGGTGTACTCCCACGCGCCGCGGGACTGCTCCTGGAGAGGCGTGATGCGACGGCGGAAGTAGTCGCCGAACACCATCGCCGCCGTTAAGCCCTAGCTTCCCAGGCCCTTGAGGCGGTCCCGCACCGCGTCGTACTCCTCGCCCAGCTCTGAAACTGCCAACCACGCGGCAGATCGTTCGGGAGGGCCGGTAGGGAGCCGAAGTCGCGGACGATCCGGCAGCGCAGTGTAGAACCAATCCTTCTTCCAATCCTCCCACTTCTTGCGGAGGTCACTATCGATGTACTGCCCCGCCACGCCTGGCCGGGGCTGGAAGTAGCATCCTCCCCCTACCGCGCCTTGCAGCAGCTGTGGGACGAGGAAGGACTGGAACAGCCGCATTGTCGGCCGCACCCCGACGAACATCTTGCACAAGTGCGCGAAGATGGCCAGCGTCATCATAGCATTGGGGGCGAGATGCAAGGCATGAATTTCGTAGAAATCCAAGACCTCGTGGAAGAACCTGGAGAATGGCAGGATCAACCCCACCATGGTGAAGGATAGGAGGTGCACGGATCGCTCTGGGTACCGTGGCTGCGGCCGCGTCTCCCCTACCCTCACGGCGGCATCCTCTGGAATGATCTTGCGGATGAGGCTAAGGTGCCTCTCCGCCGTAATGCGCGATGCCGGGAGGACGGCGTCGCCAGCATCTTGGGCCATGATGGCCAGCGGGAAACGGCGAGGAGTTTGGCGTACGGAATAGGATGGAGGGAGAGAAGCACTAGGGCTTGAGGGGCGAGTATGCGGGTGTGCAGTCGGCGAGAGGAAGGAGACGAACTCTCCGCCTCCCTTCCCTTTTATCCCCACCTCGGCCGCGCTCGCCTCCTCGTTTCACGCCCCTGCGGTTGCCCCATCGATTCCTGCGCCTACGGTTGCCTCCTTGATTCTCGCGTCCACTCATCACGTCGCCCCACTGAACCCGCGCCCCGCGGTTAGTGCGCTTGTCAGTGGCGCACTCGGCGCGGGACATGCGGTGTTCACGAGCACGGCTAGGCGGGCCCGCCGTCGGTCCCTTCGCGTGCCTAGCAGGCGGGGGAGTTGAGGCGGCGTTGGGTGACGATTCTGGGTGTGATCTGGCAGACCCCCCGACTTTTGCGCCCTAAGTGCCCCAGTGAACGGCGCACTTAGTGGCGGTCAAATCGCCATTATGGCTGATGCGCCAGCCTGGCCACCCGACGGCGGCTGCCTAGTTTCCCCGCCGGACCCACAACCACAGCACGGGAACTCATGAGGAACCACGCCAGACCGCCCTCAGGGGGCCAATGTCCGACGCGGTGCCGGGGGCTACTGTCGGTGATATGGGCCCGGGGGTATGCAAAGTACGGGGGAGTTACCTTCAAATGCAGCCACGTGGCCCTACAACTTGGCCCTCCCCCCACACCTCGGAAGACGCAAAAGCAGCCAGGGGGCCTCGGGGTGCCACGTCACGCCCCTCGGGCCCTCGCGCTGCCACGCCCCGAGGCCCTCGCCCAGCTGCCATGTGGCGAGGGGAGCGCGCGGGGAGGAGACTCAGGCTGAACCCCCATCAATGCGCGGCGCCCCAACCGTTTGTCACCGCATTTAATGCGGTAAGGGCGGACGTGCGGTGCGGCCTGATTGACCTACGTCAATCAGGCATGACCAGACTGTGACCAGCCCGTCGCCGGTCACGTCCGGTCGGACGGGCAGCCGTGTCCCCACGTTCGCCCCTGTACCCGGCGGAGTGGAGGCAGGTATGCCCCGTCCCATCAAGGCATCATCCGGAGCTCCCTCCACGTGAGAAGGACCGTCACAAGTCTTCGTTCATTTAAGAGGGAATGACAGAGCTGTCCTCCGTGTCAGGCGGGAGGTGGCGCTGGGTCCCACTCGAGGACGGACGGCCGCTTAGCTTCTGGGCGAAGGCACAGATCGTGGTCCGGTCTGAGTAGAGTGGGTCCCCCTCCCGTGATAGAGTAGGTAGAAGCGGTGCATGTAGTATCCCCTTGAACTATAAAAGGAGGACCTTGCCCACCGAGAAAAAGGGACGACTCCTAGTAGGCCTAAACCCTAGGAGAAGAAGAGCGAGAGTGCTCTCCAGAGTTTAGGAACCTTTGTAACACTCAACCATAAATCCCATCCATAGGAGTAGGGTATTACGCTCCATAGCGGCCCGAACCTGTATAATCTTGACACCGTGCACGATCTCGAAGCACTCAGGGCAGATAAACGATTTCGTCAAGCGTGCCTTTTCCCCCGGCCAAACTCACAAAAGGGGGATCTCACTGTCACCCGCTAGAGAGGATCATTCCTCGACAGCACTAGACCTCTACTCCTCCCTGAGCATAGTCCCGGTCCTCACTATTGACCAAGGCTGACCTCAAGTCACCTGCACACAATCAGACAAAACAACCGTTCCTGGGCACAGATATCACAACCTGACCCACATTAGTCACACGCACTCACACCAACATTCACATAAATTCTCAAACCAATTCATTGATTAAATCATCTGCACAGCCAATTGTTCATCACAAATATATTAATCATGACAATGATTTCATTAATCAATCATCCCCGAATTGCCTCCAAATACACAAATCGATCATATCAAATACATCACAAAATCTTAAAAAAATTACATCACAACTTCTACAAAATTCATCACAAATCCACATCGCATACAAATCAAATACATCACACAACAATCTCAGATCCAATCAAATACATCACACAACAATATCAGATTCTCCCAAAAAAAAAACCGCCAAAGTAGGCGCCGCCTCGCCGCGCGCCGCGCCGCTGCCGCGCTGGCCGGCCCTCCACGCCCCGCTGCCCTCGCGCCGGCCTGGCATCCTCGCCCTGCCGCTTCACTCCGGCCTGGCATCCTCGCCCCACCACTGCAGTAGAGAGGAGAAGGAGAGGAGAAGGAGAGGAATAGATAAGGAGAGGAACAGATAAGGTTGAGGAGAGGAGGAGAGAGGAGTTAAAGGAGAGGAGGAGATACCTCGATCTGATCGGCACGCCTCTCCGATCTCCGCGTTGATCTTTTTTCCCGGTTGGTAACACCAACCGGGACTACAAATAGATTTTTAGTCCCGGTTACCAACCGGGAGTAAAGCGTATGGCGATCTTTTTTCCCGGTTGGTGTTATCAACCGGGACTACAAATAGATCTTTAGTCCCGGTTGGTAACACCAACCGGTACTTAAAGATTGGAAAGTACCCCTGGAGTTTTTAAACCGGGACTAAAGATATTTATAGTCCCAATTTTTAATACAACCGAGACTATTGTGAAATCTGGTCGACCGACCAAAGATGGTTTCTCCACCAGTGTCAAGCACACCCTCCAAATCTCCATCAGCGCTTGCCCAAGGACATCCTCTCACCTGTAGCTCTCATGTTGCATGACTGTAACAACATGTGCACCTGCCAATTAAAATTAAATTGAATTTAAAGTGCACTCTTGTTTGAAGCACGATCTACACCGACTTGTAGGATTATTTCTCCCAAGGCCATGTGCTCCTTTCCACCTATGCCTCATCAATTCGCCATCTCTTATTCCTGTCAAATTTATTTCATCGACTGCCACCACCGTTCGATATCCAGCTAGGGGCGCACTACCATAATAATTAGCATCAGCACCATCTAGCCATGTATGCAAACCCATGTCCCAGATATAGAGCCACAACGGGGCAGCACCTGGGACCCTCCATCACCGCCATGGTGCCATCAACATTGAACTGTTGATTGCCCCTCTGCCAAGAATACTATATATGCATGCCACACGGTGCCCCTCAGTGCCTTGCTCATCATTCCTAACCATTTTCTCGGCCACCCATCTATCTTCCACTGGCATATCCACCCCCCTCCCAATTTGATCATGCATGGGTCCACATGCTCAATGAACGGATCATGAGGAGGTGACTAATTCTCATTATCTATAAGTTAAAATGGCTGCTTTTTGGGAGGCCTGCATGCCCTACGCTAGCGAAACAACCGGGACTACCAACCTTGCATCTATTTAAAGCAATTGTATAAGAGTCCTTCAACGAAAATGGCTGCCAACGATCTCCATGCTGCACCACACATTTTCTTACCACCCCCTCCCCCCTCCACCATAAATATGCACCCAGCTGCAACATGGATCACCGAACACATCGATCCATCCCTCTACCAAGCAAGAAACAAGAAACATTACACCAAAAAACTAGCTAGCTAGCCAATGGCCTCCATGTCCTCCTTCCGACTTGCCGTGGCGGTGGCTGCACTATTGGTCATTGGCTCACATGCCACAGAGCTCACCTTCAAGGTTGCTGAGGGCTCTAGCGCCACTAGTCTAGAGCTCGTCACCAACGTCGCCATCTCTGAGGTGGAGGTCAAGGAGAAAGGCGGCAAGGACTGGGTGGGGCTCAAGGAGTCGGGCTCTAACACCTGGACACTCAAAAGTGATGCACCACTCAAGGGCCCCTTCTCCGTTCGCTTCCTTGTCAAGAACGGTGGCTACCGTGTCGTCGATGATGTCATCCCTGAAAGCTTTACTGCCGGCTCTGAATATAAGAGTGGCATCCAACTCTAAGTAACAGGCGTGCATACTCTTGTGTTGGGTCATATTGGAATTATGAACCTCTAAATAATTATGTCTTAAAAGAGATCGCTCCATGTTCGAGCGAACCATTAATTAATTTTCTATTAATTAATTTTCTGTGGTTATTTTTTTGTAATGGGCTAGTGGCAAAATAAGGCATACATGTGTACTCCAAAATATTGCTGTGGAGCTATATGCAAAGCATGGTTTTGAATATATGTTATTTATATAAGATATATGGGAAAAAGTATATTTGGTCAACTTTCATTAAGATGATTGGGTGCATTATTTGATTTTCCAAAGTTTTAGTACATAGGTATGTCCAAACCAATGTGTTCCTTTCACCATTTTAGCGTGTCAAAAATATTGTAGAGTGACATCTATACTTGTTTTTTTTTTTCCTTTCTGAAAACAAATTGTTGATTCTCAGCCATACTATGAACTGAAACTATAAGCACTAGCCATCAACCCATACTATCTAATTATATCATCATAAATATTAATACTTTAGTTGCAAATGAATATTTGTTTTTTGTAATTACAATAGCTCTTATGTTAAATTAAAATAAGATTTTATATGAATTATATATACCTTGTTAATTAGTGATTCCTAATTAATAGAATACTTAGTGGATAAAATTCATGATTTTTAATTCGTTTTGACTATGACTTCCAATGGCATGTTTTCTTAATACAATGTCCCAATATATTATTGTTTGTATTATAAATAAAACAATTTTAGTCATTTTTATCCCTCAACATTGGTAAAAGAAAAGTAATTTCACTGAATTTGTTGGAGGAATCATGTATTTTCTGAAGCAACGACTATTAATAGAAACATAAGTTATTGAACTGGGTGAAGCATATGCAACAGATAATATATTATAGTAATAGGATAACACACCTATACTTATCGTGAAAACCTGACATAAAGGATCAAAATCAAATAACATATAAACATTATAACATATAGTGAGAGGACACCATGCACTAGTAGGTATGAATGGATTCTTCTAGGAGCCAAATCAAGAACTCTTCTATACTGTCCTATCCTAATGCATATGAAATCAGTTATTATGATTCTTAACATTACTTGTTTTGGCCCATAATAAAAATATCGCTTATAAATTTTAAAATAATAGAAAAAACTGTAGGATACATTAGTTTTTCCTTTGATCACCATTGGGGAATTGCAATAATCATCTATTAATTTGGAAAATCTATTATTTTAAACAAAAAATATATAATCATTCTCTCTTCCATGATCTAGGGAAATAGGAACAAAAATAAGCCATGTCTCGCCACATACCATTTGGAAAATAATCTATTAGTTTGGAAAAATCATTATAAACAAAATATTTATAATGATTCTCTCTTGCATGCATATATGTATGTATATTACTCCTACTTCACTAAAGCCACGCATGCATCATTAGTGGAAAAACCTGCTAGATGCATGCATATTTATTGATTTTTTTCCTTGCCCCAGACCATGCATGACCGCCTTTATAATGCAAATTTTCCAGTGCATAAACTAAATACTATATATACAGATAGTTTCAGAAGGTCTGAACATTTTTTCGAACATAAATTTGAAAATTTTTACAAAATAAAAATAAGGATAGAAAATTCATAAAACATAGAAAAAATACATTGTAATATATTATATACTCCCTTCGTCCAAAAATATAATCAGTCATAGACTTCAAATTTTATCCACAAATACTAGTATGTAGAGAGTTGCGCGTTTGCGCGGCCGTAACATCCCTGTATATTAAATGTGTTATTTGTTATTTACAGTAATCAATTTAATTTTACAATAATAATTAACACTCTAGATGTAGGTGTGTGGACCAAAATTGTCGGACACTGAAGTGACAATATTATCATGACAACCAATAATTTAACATGCTTTCATGCGACCATATCACCTTTGTATTTATACTAATATTGTAAACAGGTAATTAGAGAAACATATGGTACATAGTTTAGTATTATTGTTCTAAAATAAACAATGTTATTGTTACAATAAATGATTACAAATGAACTATCTAGAACATATTTCATAAGTTTTAGTAGTGTGGCTGGCGGGATGGAAGGCCGGTCAGCTGGCAGCAAAGCCAGAGACAGAAGGTTTGGATGCAGTTTTTTTTTTTTAATTAAAAGAAAAATCAACGTATCTATCTAGACTATCCAGTTGTTTCTCTGGGCCATGATTTTTTTTTATTTCTCTAACTTTTTTTAAGCATCAATTTGATTGGATGGCTATGATCTTTTCTTCTACTTTGTCCTTTTCTGAATCAAATGGTTCATATTATCCTGATCATGTGGAGGATTTCAGTAAAGTTAAGTTTTGGTTTTAACTTTCACTTAGAGAGATGAGCATTTAAGTGTACAACATCCATCACTCAACCACCTCTCACTTAATATTTTTCGATAAACCTTATTGCTAATAATAAATGTTCATGTTCCTACACTGTCGATGAATGATACTCGTATACCGGATGATTAGGGTATTAGGGTATGTTAGAATGATGATCTACGTAATACGACATCAAGCAAACAGAAGACAAGAATTATACTGGTTCAGGCCCCTTATCAGGTAATAGTACTAGTCCAGTTTATATGGGATTGATGATTGAAAACCGCATATTTCAATGGGAGTAGAAAAATTCGACGATACCGGCAAGATCGTAGTTGATGTATTCGACGAGATCTCCCGGTGACTTGGCTCCGTGTATTCCGGCTTCGTAAACTATGGTGGGTGTGTTAGCAATGAGATTCGATGCCTTGCACCCCTTCCCAGGGGTCTCTTTTATACCGTGAATCATCTTGATCTCTATGTAAGACTCGGAAACATCGGATCCCGTACGATACAATATAAATTTTATCCCCTCCAAGTAGGACTTTGGAAATCACTTAACTCGTAGAGATATTTTCCATAATTTGTAACGGATTCCTACTACATGTATAGATACACCGGTCAGACCGGCGGTACAGCAGCGGTCAGACCAGTGGTACAACTATTTTGGAGTATAGACTCGGGAACATCAGATCTACAATATAAACTTTATCCCCTTCAAGTAGGACTTTGGAAATCACTTGACTCGTATAGATAATTTACATATTTTGTAATGGATTCCTACTATGTGTATAGATACAACCTGTGTACGTGAAGGTATACCATACACGTATATTCTATAAGTCGTAAGATAGGAGGTATATATGCCTTATCCGTAACCATAACACTCTCTTATTTAAATTTGTCTTATTTTTGCGTTCCTTCCTAATCTCTAAAGAAACTTGACATCCCATATATTTAAGGATGTACAGGTGAATATAAATATAAGAAGAATAATAAAAGTAGATCAAATATAGATAAAAAAGTTAGACTATGCAAATTGATGGAATACTACTTGAATTGTACGAGGCTACCACACTATGGACCTTTCTAAATGCCAGAAAAATTTGTAAAAGCAAATAGATGGAACACTTTTATGAATTATGGGTACGATGACAACGGATTGGCTTCTTAGGTGCAAGCAAACTTGTCGATCAATTTTAAATCAAACATCTGAACATCAAAAAAATATATATGGTAAGGTGATGACGTAGGTTAACACTCCTATATATTAGACGTGTTGTGACAGATGAGAAACATGCATGTAAAGAGAACTGAACTGGAAATTAGAAGTTAGAATCAAACCTTAATAATTGATAGAAAATAGCAATAGCGTTCACCTGTCGCTGTGTGCATGGCCATGCCGTGCCCTCCCATGTTTGCCATTGCGTCTATCTGATCAGATCGATATGCAGTACTACATTCGTCTCATTTTAAGTGTAGTCATGATTTTTCATGCGCAACGTTTGACCATTCGTCATGTTTGAAAATTTCATGAAAAAATTAAAAGAATAAATCATGCATAAAGTATTATTTATGTCTTATCATCTAATAACAACAAAGATACTAACAATAAAAATTTTAAATAAGACGGATAATCAAACATTTGACACAGAAACTCACAACTGCACTTAAAATTAAAGTGCATTGGCGGTCCTTAATCTTGTAGGGTTGTGTCATATAGATCCCTAAACTTTCAAAATGCATATCCAGATCCCAGAACTTGTCAAAGTGTATCATCTAGGTCCCAAATCGACGCATCCCCTCTAAGATCCTACGTGGTGCTGAGGACGTGACGTGTCCTTTTCTTTTTTTTTCTTCTTTTATTTTTCTTTTTCTTTTCCGTTTTCTTCTCATTCTTCTTTTTTTCCTTTCTTCTGCTCGGGTCACAAAGAAAGGAGAATAAAGGGGAAAAAGAGAAGAAAAAAAGAAAAAAAAATTAAATGGGTCCTATTTATCAGTAAAATAATGCCATGTCATGTCCGTGTGGCATGTCACATCAACGCCACGTAGGATCCTAAAGGGGTTGTGGTAATTTGGGACGTAGATGACACACTATGACAAGTTCTGAGATTTGGATATACATTTTAAGAGTTTAGGAATCTAAATGACACACCCCAACAAATATAAGGACTGTCCGTACACATTACTCTAAAATTAAAATGGAACGGAGAGAGTAGTACGTGCAAGCTGTGGAAAATCATAAAAGGACTGTTGTAGAGCTATTAATTAACGTAGATGTTTCTGTAATGTATGTTCGTTGTAGTGCATGCTTAATACGAGATGTTTTGGAAAAAAAAAGAGATATCAGTAGCATCCCAGTAAATATGGATGGCCCTGTATACCACCACCGATTTTAGACTGCTTGATCGATCGGTTTAGAAAAAAAAAAGATTACGCACTTTCATAAAAAGGAAAAAAAATATTGTACTTAAACGGATCGGGTCAATGGGCTTGGCAATAGGTTAGATGGATTTTAAAGAGACCCACACCACATAGAATGTGGATTCAAATTTCAACGGTTGACATATTACAATCTGTTTAATCAACGGTTAGATCACATGAGAGGTTCTAAAAAAGTGTCTAATTAATATATAGGTATAGATAAAACATCAGTACATTGTATAGTTTATTGAGATGTCAAAACAAACTGCAGTACGACTGAGTGGTAATAGGTAGGATGGAAATGAAGCCAGCTTTGAGAGGAGCAAAATTAAGCTTCATATCATATAGTTGGCCAATGCCCCAAGCTACAGTCAACAAGAAAGTTTGTACCCCCGTCGTTTTTTAATAGATGATGCCGTTGACTTTTTCACATGTTTGATCATTCGTCTTATTCAAAAATTTTATGCAAATATATAAGATATAAA